AAAAATCAAGCTGGGACTAAAATACCAGATTATTCCATAAACAAATTTTATTGAGCAACTTCAAGAAATGTTGGCTTCATACATAAACACACCTGTGTTTATCTACATATACTTCCAAAGTATATTTCCTCCAATACCTACTTTTCCACTGGGAAACCCCACCTTAGTAAACTCTGTGACCTTCCATAGCTAGCCAACAAAAGTATTTTGGACTGTAAGTTCACAAATGCAAATTTGTTTCAAGATTCATAGTCACATTTTTTTAAAAACCCTTTTTCCTAATAACCTATCTTGGATAACAATATCCAAGTGAATAGTCTCTCCAAGAATTACACAGCTTCCTGCTTCTTCTCTCGTTAGGTTTTAAAACCGCAGTTGCTTAAAAACACAGCATACATACCTCCACACACATATACACATATCATTACTTTTCCAGAACAATAATGTTAACAATCCTATGACCATTTTCTCATTTTTTTCCCCTCTATTTTAACTCAATACAAAATCTGGCTCTAGCCACAGTGGCCCAAAATGACCTGGAAAATTAAGTTTATTTTTCCTGGCAATGACAATCTGTGCTTGGAAATATAAAACTGTTATTCTGAATAAATTTCAAAGTTTCAAAGTACTAAAATTACTATACCGAAACAGGACAAAATGAGCTGTTGCTGCTAGAGAAACGGACTGTTATCCCAGAAAGAGCAGTGCGCTCTCCAACCACTTCTGTTTTATAAAATAAACAACTCTGGTCTCTTTATTTTACTTTGTGTCCTCCGGTAATAAATATCTTCCCTGAAGCTAAATTCCCATTACAAATGTTCATTTTCTCACCAGAGAGAGAGAGAGAGAGAGAGAGAGAGAGAGAGAGAGATAGAGAGAGAGACAGAGAGAGATCAGTTTTACTTTGCAAAATAACTGATTTTTCCACTCATTTGTTGCAGTTGTTTTGATTTCTGTGTATGTCCCCAGGCAAAAACGACAAAAGGAAAGTTGTTCACTGCTTTTTTTCTAAAAAAAGGGAGTCCCCTATGTCTCTAAAATAGGTAGACATTCGAGAGAAGAAGAAATATAGAATTATTACTTTGCTGATCTGTGTTTTAATTGTGGCAATAAAATCCTAAACATAGAACTGTACTCTCAGTACAAGTGCATTCTGCTCTCAGAAAGCTGGATGAACATTCTAGCAAAGCTGCTAGCTTCCAGAGGTCAGAGACAGGTTAAGAGTCAGCTCAATCTAGAGGGAGAACAGATTTAAAGATCTGATCTAAGTACATACAGAAGTAAACTGTAGAGTCTGGCAGCAAAGGGGATGAATGTGGTCTTGCTATCCAGCCCTTGGGCCTGTTTTACATTTTGTGCCACCTGGGGAGATAGAAGTCTGAGATGTATTTTATGCTCAGTCAGAAATTGTGATAAAAAGCAAAAAGACCTAGGAATGAAAGTCAAAAGATTACCTTATTCTTGCTTCCCTATGATTCCCTAAAAAGATGAGATCAAGAGGTAGCTGATTTTAACAATTTTAGTCTTCTAGTCGAGTAATGACTTCTCTAATTATAGCTTATCATCATCAGCAGCATTCTTCTCTATACTTTCCCTTCGGTGGCCATCTGCTCCACTACCTCTAATTTTTCTTGCAACTTTTCTACTACTACCAATTTTACTAGTAATAGCACAGTGTAGTGCAGTCATTTTCATGTTCTTTATTAAGTACCTTTCATGTAAGTTATCACTCACCCTATTTCCATATCACATAGCAAAAGTATAGAAAAAAATAAAGAGGAAAGGCTCCCCTCACCTTCTCTTCCCTGATTTCTACATTAACCTTTCTTGCATGAACAGAGAAAGAAAAGAAGAAAAAAAGGAAACACACAGCAAGGGTTTCTCTAGAAAGAAGAACCAGCATAAAAACTAACACCAAAAAAGTTAACAGAAGAACAAGGTAGGGGCACTGATCCACCCACCTCATGTTCTTTTTTTACCCAATAAAGAAATGGAGCACAATTTCCAAGCCACAATGAAAAAAAAAATTTGTTTTCTTCATTTTAATAATGAAGTATCTATACTAATAAAAGGGTAATATGCTAATTAGACCAGATAGTCCGGATGTCTTCCAGACGTCCTTGTGGACATCCTTCTGGACAAAGCCACGGTGGTGGGAGCCAAGGCAGAGGCAGTTAGGGGCAATAAGGCCGACAGGGGAGAGTGGTTAGGGGTGATCAGGCTGGCAGGGGAGAGCGGTTAGGGGCAATCAGGCAGGCAGGCAGGTGAGCAGTTAGGAGCCAGCGGTCCCAGATTGCAAGAGGGTGCAGGTGGGCTGAGGGATCCCCCCCCCCCGCACGAATTTCATGCACCGGGCCTCTAGTTAGTAAATAATTCTAATCCAAAGTATTCTTATTACCACTATACGCTATATGCAGGGGGGCAAAAGTAAGTTTATAGCTGTTAGTACATAAAACAAAGTTCATTCTTGTATTATTTATTAACTAGAGGCCCGGTGCACGAAATTTGTGCACAGGGGGCAGGGGGCGTCCCTCAGCCCGGCCTGCACCCTCTCCAATCCAGGACCCCTCGGGGGAAGTCCAACTGCCGCAGGGATGGAACCTAAACCGGCAGTCAGACACCCGTTTCGCAATCCGGGACCGCTGGCTCCTAACCACTTGCCTGCCTGCCTGCCTGATTGCCCCTAACCACCCTATGTGCCTGCCTGATCATCCCTAACCACTCTACCTGCCTGCCTGATCACCCCTAACAGCCTCTGCTTGCCAGCCTATTCACCCCCTATCTGCCCCCCTGCCAGCCTGGTCACCCCCTAAATGTCCAGAAGGAAGTCGGATGTCTGGAAGATGTTACCCTTTTATTAGTATAGATTATTGTATTATTTTCCATATGAACAACTGTAAACCTACTTTTGCTCCACCCTGTATCTATTTAACATGATTCTGTATAGAATGAAGTATGCAAGCTGACTACATACTGCCTGATCACTAGACAATTTAACAAGTACATTATGGGCAATCTAGATAAATCAAACATAGTTAAGAAGTTGTGGAAAACAAATAACTGACTTATACTTAGACGGTGCTTTAAGGGGCTGTGGGGTGCATGTACACATTTTGGTTGCTTCATAATCAAGTACCCAGAACAATGCCTGGCACATATAGGCACTGGGTGAATATTTGTTGTAGAACTGTATCTAACTTAGATTTGAAAAAGTGCAAAGCTGCACTTTATATTCTAAACATTCAGCAGGACAAAGGTACCATCAGAACACTTGTCCAGGGCCTTAGGCAGCTGCGCTTCTCCTAGACTCACCGCTTCTCTGCACTGCATGGACAGCTGCTTGCCATTCCTGCTTTGAGAATATAACTGCAGATTTATGAAATGCTTGGTTTCAGCATCTTTAAACAATTTACTTATAAAGTACCTTAAACATAGAAAAAAAACCATTCTACAACTCTCATAAAAACCTTGCCAAAATAAATACATACTTTCTCATATATTCAAAATATTTACATTGTTAAACATTCTCTAACTTGGCCAGCTTTTTCTCACCAGTAAGCTGTTCCCTTAGCCTAGCATGCTCTATTGCCTATCTGTCTATAGCAATACTCTGCCTTCAAGGACCAACCCCAGTTCTACTTCCTGCATAAAGCTCCTCCCTTGACTATCCCAATACTTGGGGATTCCTATCCCTACCTCCTCCTTTCTTATAAGCTACTATCTTATATGACATTTAAATTATACACTGTCTTTTAGAGTTGTTTTTTTCATCTCATTATAGATCCTCTTCCTGACAGATGACTGGAATCTGAAGTATGGGAATTGTTTCTTGCAGATGGCTTTGTTTTCTTTTCATCTCTACCACACAGGGTAGTATATGGAAGGAATTCAGTTGAGGGAGAGAGGAGGGACATTCCATGTCTACAAACACATAAAAGCAGCATTTCTCAGGTAAGCATAGCATAGCTGAGCTCTCTTTGTGCTTTCTATCTCTTACATCTAACTTGAAAGGTAAAGCAAATTAAATGCAGAGGTTGAAAAGGTCTTTTCTGGTAATTGGACTTCCCTTCCAGTTCCTGCAAGGCTGCAGTTTATATAAATCTGAAGAACATACAGTAACAGTAAGCATCAAGTTAAATCAATGGTAACAGGAAGCCCAAAGCAACATGAACAAAGAATAAAAGCATATCTGAGAGCTGACTGTAATTTTTCAATTAAAAAATAACAGACTGTTAAGAGTTGACTGTAGATTTACTGAAAAACCTGAATGATTAATGATAGCTAAGGTCTGAGATTTAATTCACAATTTGTCGATCAGTTTCAAAAAGATATTTTTAAAATTATACTGTTAATAATATATGCAATGCCAAACTAAATATAGGAGTAATGAGTTTGCCTGAGGACAGATATGAACTAACAGGGAGAAGAACAAGAAAATCTGAAGAATTGTTAACTAGATTAAATGAACTGATATGAAAAGGCTTAAAACAGTACCTCGTGCAAGAATTAAGGTGAAATTGAAATAGACACTTATATAGAGAGACTTCAAAACTTAGCATCATAAAAAACTACAAAGCTAACTATAATTTCTGTGGTGGTTTACTACTAATTATTTGTTTTGCAAATACAGACTAATGATCATTTAAAATTTTAAACAGACTCATTGATTTCAGTTTTTTTTTTTTTTTTTAAAAAAACTTCTTTCTGCAAAGCTGCTAGAAAATACCTACATATTACTATCAGGCTCCACAAACACCTGGTCAAATACTGTGCTGAAACTGTATATCTGCCTTTGTTCACAGGTCAAATACTCTGCACTGAATTGAATTCCACAATTCTGACCATTAGGATTATTCCCTTCCCCACTCCATCAATTCATTACAGATGCCCTGACCAAAATAAATACAGAACCTCTGAATTCACTTCCCCAAATTTTAGAATTATCTACCTGCTCACATGTTTCCAATGTTATTTTGTAATAACACAATATAATATTATACCTTTTGGATTTCTTCAGGTAACGCATGCATGGGAACGTGACGATCCATAATTTCCCAAAATACACTGAAGGAGCTCTGAAGTAAAATAATCTAAAAATATTGATGGCAATAGTCAGAATTGAATAATGTAAAAAAAATTCAAATTAAGAGATATAAATTCTTGGTAGTATTGGAAGAAGAATGGTGATAACTCTTTAAACAGATGTTTATTCCATCAGTGTTAAACAGTACAAGTGGGGTTTTCTCAGTTAGTTATTAGGCCAATAGAACAGAAAAGACCTACAGAGACTGCTGATACTAGCTGCAAATATTTTCTTTCTTTAGAGACATATGCAATACTTTCCACAATAAAGAATTTAAAACATTTTTAAATGTATACACACTTAACAAAAAAAAAAGAAATTAATAGTTCAATTGTAATTTCTGTGGTGGTTTAATACTAATTATTTGCTTTGCAAATACAAAATAAGGATCATAAAATTTTAAATGGAACCATTTATTTCAAGAATTTTTTAAGTTTTTTTTTCTGAAAAGCTACTAGAAAAATGTGTAAATATGGTATTTTAGTTTGGCAGACAAGAAAAGCAACTGTGACATGAATGTAGTTTAAAAAAATATATGATCAGCTTAAATATGATATGCAGGCCCTGAATAGAAGAAACATCAAAGTATGAGAAGCCAAGTGTCAATTTTAACTAAAAATTAACATTTTTATTATTTTTGTGTAGGTATTTTACTTTTAATAGATTTTCATTTTATAATAAAATAATCCATATATATAAAAGCCTAAGCGACTGTTAAGACTGAACAACAGAGGAGCTGCTCAAAGCAGGAGCTGCCCCCTGGTGGTCAGTGCACTCCCACAGCCAACCTCCCACAGCCAGTCAACCTCCTCTGGTCCCTCCCCCTAGCCAGCAAACCTCCTGTGGTCCCCGGCTGCAGCTAGCAGGCCCCGCCTGGCCCGGCCCTGATTGGGACTGGGCAAGATGGTCCCGATAGGCCCTGATCACCGGCCAGGCCTAGGGACCCCACCTGTGCATGAATTTTGTGCACTGGGCCTCTAGTTCTATATAACACTCTATCACTACATTCATAAAACCACACAGAATGGGAGCATTTGGGTTTTGTGTGTTTTTTTAATCTTTCTCAAATATGGAGGAAGAATAGACAGTCCAATTTCATGAGTGAGAGATGTTTATATATACCCAAGGAGTGAGGGGGGGCAGCAGAGTAAAATGATATAGGCCCAATTCCACAGCAGGGAACAAGGCCTAAGGGCCAACAGTTGTAGACAAAGAACAATCTAGGAGAGGAGTATTAGTTAAGGCTCCTGAGGTGGTTTGCTTTTGATCAGGGTAAGATTTTGACAGGAGAGGCCAAGAAGTCTGAGATAGCAACTCCAGCCTTTCCAAGGTAGCAGGTAAATTGTATGTGACAAAAAATTTTATAGTAGCAGTATTTTTTGTTTTAATTATGCAACTATTGGTAGAAAATAGGATTCCCTCCCTATCCCATTAGCATAAAATCCCTTGTTTTAATGAGCTGCTGTTTACAGCAAATAATTAATGATCTGTCTTCCCATATAAATATAGTGTTTGTGTGTGTGTGTGTGTGTGTGTGTGTGTGTGTGTGTGTGTTTGGTAAAGTTAACTGCAGCTGGCTGTGGGGTAAAGTTAACTGACATAGTTAACATTGGCCCACATGACCAAGTACATAATAATGTGATGTTTGGCAGACTGTCACCGTGATGTGGCAAGAGCTCATTATTCACAAAAGGCTCATTATTCTCATTTCTGCCATTTTACAATGGACTCACCAATAGTAAAATAAGATGGCATCAGCTTAATTAAACTCTATTGGGAGAATTTCTCCTAAATTACCACCCACAAAATTCCACCCACAAAATTATTTGAGAGCATGGATCTAGTGACAGTGTAAACAAGGCAGTTTTGATTTAAAACCTTGATTGTTTGTAAATCTATCCCAACTTTGTGGTCTTATTCTACCAAAGGAGAAGAATTGGCAGGTTCTGATTATTGAGGGAAAATTAAAAATAAAATATTCTGCTAACCCAGAAAATCTCTCTGTAGCAGATAGCAATTTCATTATTGAATATGCATTTAACCAGACTGTGAGGCACATCACAATCAATCTGCTAACGAGATTACAGAGACAGAAAGAAATCCCACTTTTTATACAACCAAGCAGATACAATCCATTACAGTGCCAGCGGTTCTCAACCTGTGGGTTGCGGCCCCTTTGGGGGTCGAACGACCCTTTCACAGGGGTCGCCCAAGACCATCCTGCATATCAGATATTTACATTACGATTCATAACAGTAGCAAAATTACAGTTATGAAGTAGCAGCGAAAATAATTTTATGGTTGGGGGTCACAAAATGAGGAACTGTATTTAAAAGGCCAGAAGGTTGAGAACCACTGCTTACACGCTTGTTCTCAAGATAAATGGTAACTTGTCCTCAATACAGCTTGCTATACACTCTCTAATAGTTCATTTAAAATCACCTGGTAACCCAAGTAGCCATCTATTCTAGCTAATTGCATCTGTTCTAAGGAATGCAAATCTCTATGACAAAGTAGGTGGTTGCTAGAAGGCACCTAAAGTAAAACTCTAGGAGATATGGAAATAGGGGAGTTAATTTCCTTGATATTTACATTTTAAAGAAATGGCTCCCCGGTCCTCAAGGAAAACATGATGGGTCTTTAAAAGTTTTGCATGCATATTAAAGGAAGAGAGGGAGCATTAACAAATAAGAAGTTTCTCCACATCGGGAGGGGAAAGGTCTCTTTCCCTTTTGGCCGCAGGGAAATTTGTTCATTTTAATTTCCCCTTACATTACTTTGCATGTTTTATCAAATGAGCCCCTTTTATTCTTTCACTTTAAACTCGTGTCGGCTGCCCGTTGGCAAGAGGTGCGGTGATGACTGGCAGCAGCTATGTAAGGTGTCTCTGAACCTGCTCTCTCTCTCTAACAGGGTCACGAGGAAAATGTCAAAAACACAGCAATGTTCTTGACTGTTCACTTCCGATTCCCTTCCCCACGCCAGGGTCACGATGGGCCGTTAGCTCCCGTCCCGTTTCCAGGCCGGTTCGTACAGAACTATCCCCCTGGCGTGAGTCACCCAAAGGAGCAGGCCAGGGTCAGGTGAAGCGGGAGTTGTCCTAAGACTTTCTTGAGCGACGGACTTTTCCAAACAAAGACCAACTGCGAGGCCAGCCAAACTGCTGGAAGGCCTGTGAAATGTGTCCCTGTCT